AGGTTCATGCATTTGTGCATGTCGTACTAAGCAAGGTATAAAAACAGTTGCTTTATGAGGAATTAGTTCGTACCATTGAATATTTGATGCAATAGACAAGGTGTCGCAGAAACTGATGTTGCTATAACCAAGTTTTACTGTATGTTCAGTTTGTATGCAGTCCAAACAAGTGAGACTCCCATTTGATACAGAAAGAAGTAGGGCTGGAAAGCCATTAGAGATAATTCATAGTGACTTGTGCAGACCAATTGATCCCACCACTTATGACAATAAGAAATATTTCCTTATGTGTGTGGATGATTATATGCATTTTTGTAAGATATACCTGTTAGAAAATAAGAGTGAAGTGTATACCTTTTGGAAGGAATATGTAAATGAAGCTGAGTGTCACTTCAATACAAGAATGAGAAGAATAAGATGAGACAATGGAGGAGAATATAAGAACAACGCCTTGAGAGAATGGTGTAATAACAAGGGGATTGTAATGGAATTTACTACACCATATTCGACACAGCTAAACGGCACTGCTGAAAGGATGAACCATACCATTGTGGAAAAGGCAAGAGCATCGATTTTTGACTCAGGTTTAAGTAAGAGAATGTGGGGTGAAGCTGTACTCACTTCTGCATACCTGCTAAACAGAAGTCCAACAGTGACAGTGAATGGAATGCCAGCAGAAAATTGGTATGGTAAAAGACCAGATCTGCCTGGATTGAAGATTTTTGGTTCAGAAGTGTACACTAAAATTCTCAGACCAATGAAAAAGTTGGACAGTCATAGCAAGAAAGGAATATTCGTTGGATATAACACAAATGCCTAGAGAATATGGGATCCAAATACAGAAAGGACCTATTTCTCCAGAGACGTGACATTCACAAGTACACCTGCGACAACAAATAAACAAAAGGAAATGGAAAGAGTGATGGATCCAGAAGACAAGCCAAATACTCCAGATCAGGAAGATAGCGATATGCAGCAAGAACCCGAAGCTGACAACAATGAAGAAGAACCAACAGATAGTGAAGAGGATGAAGAAAATGAAAATGCTGACCACAAGGACAATGGAAGGAAAAACAATGGACAAAATGAACATGGATATGCATTGAGACCAAGAAGAAACATTCAAATGCACCCAAAGTACCCAGACTATCACACAGAGAGTCAAAAGGAGGGTATGCTCACCTATACGTATGACGAGTGCATGGAGAGTGAAGATGGTGAGAAGTAGAAGAAAACCATCAAAGAGGAAAAGGATTCGCTCTACCAAAACAAAACTTGGATATATAAACAGAGAGAAAGCAATGGGCATGGAAATTCTGACCAGTAAATGGGTTTTCAAAATAAAATATGATGGAAGACGCAAAGCCAGACTGGTTGTGAGAGGATGTCAACAAAAGGAAGGGGAAATAGATTTCAAGGATACCTTTAGCCCAGTTGTTGACATGAATTCTCTTAGAGTACTGTTTGCCATAACAGCATATAAGAATATTTACATGCAAACCTTTGATGTGAAGACTGCCTTCCTGTATGGAGATCTTGAGGAGGAAAACTACATGGAGATACCAGAAGCATACAAAAACACTGGCAAGATATGTCTCCTGAAAAAGGCATTATATGGCCTAAGACAAGCACTATCACAATGGAACAAGAAGCTGACAACCTTTCTAAAAGAAGAAGGTCTAAACCAACTAAAATCTGACCAATGCATTTTTAAGAATGATGCCAACAGTTTGTTCATGGCCATTCATGTGGATGACGGGATAATCATGGGAGAGGATGAAAGACAAATAGAGGAAATTTTGCTGAAACTGGAAAATCA